TGCCTCATGAGTGGGGAGGAGAAGGCAGCTGGAATAGAGAAGGGATCACTGAGAAAATGATGGTTGCAAGGATCGGTCGGGATGGGAGATGTGTGCTGAAAGGAGATAAAAGGACCTCTGTATCTGTGTTGCAAACCATACTGCCCAAAAGCAGAAAGAGCGTATGTGGGAAATTGTGTGCCAAGGAGGCAGGGGGAGGGTGGGAAAGGGGGGGTATACTGGAGAGATTGGTGGTGGGGAATGCGCACTGGTGGAGGGATGGGTGTTTTAACACTGTATGATCATAGCTCAAACACGAATGCTTGTAACTGTATCTCACAGTGATTCAATAAAATAAAATTAAAAAATGTTTGACATGTATTATGGGAGGGGCCATAGCCACAGAGAAATATGGAAACAGGACGAGATTTTCCCACCTGAAAGCCGGTGCTGACAGAGTGTGTTCACTTAACTACCAAAGCCCAGGAAGGCCCCGAATCCTAAAGAGCCAAATGTAGCAAATACTATTCTGCTCCCTCAGAACCCAAAAACAATGTGCAAAATCCTAATCATTCAAAGTCCAAATGAGAGACCTAAAATCTTAAGCTATTTGAGAATCACTTGATCACTGGATATCCCATTACTCATCGAGTTGCTTGAGCGGACGCCAGTAATGTCTCCATTTGTCCCTGTCGCGTACTAGTGTAGCCCAATGGTGTCTGCTCGTTCTAGGAACACGAAGAGCCTCAAACTGATCATCCAGGGTCTTGACAAAGAGTCTGACCATCTCGTAGGTGGGTGGCCACGCGATGTTTTGGCGTCCCGTGGAATCTAGTCAGTAACAGCTCTAGTCCAGCGGTCATCTCCAAATCTCATTACATGTCCAGCCCATCTGATTTTCGACACCTTGGCAAACGAGACAGCGTCCCTGGTTCTTGATCGTTGACAGAGGTCGGAACTCCGGATTCTTTCTCTCATTTGAGTGAAGCATTCATATTTGAGAATATGAACTAAATATAATTTGGTGAAATCATCTGGCAAGCGCCAATGCCTTCCATTACTCCCCCATCTTTTTTGTGGTATCTTCTCTCCTCCCCCTGCCCCAACCTCCAAATTCTTTATGCACAGTAAGAATCTGTGTTGCTAAATTAACAACACCCAATGTGATCACATCACCTTGTCTTACCAGTGATATTTATTTTTTAATAACTGCCATACATAAGGAAAAAAAATCTCTCAGTCTTTTTTTTTTTTTGACTAAATAAGCATGGCAGAGCCTGGCAAGCTACCCGTGATGATTTTGAAATGCCAATAGCAGTAACAAGTCTCACAATGGAGATGTTACTGGTGCCCGCTCGAGCAAACTGATGAACAACAGGATGACAGTGCTACAGTGCTACGGACTAAATAAACTTCAATGACACAAACCTGGTACATCTTCCACAGATACAATTCCCCTGTCACTCTGTGTACGAGTGACAGAGACGTTTGGGTGGAACACCAAAGGTTAATGTCTGTTACCTTACACCAAAGTTAAGGTTAAATGAAGACTATGACTTCCTCTATCGCATGCATTGAAAAAAAAATCAAGAAATCTGAGCAAACAATAAGAGAAATTAGGGAAGTTAATCGAAATTAAATGGGGGAGAAAGGGAGAGGCTCTTTGACTCCAGTAATTTTGCAACTATTTTCAGATTTCAAAAGAAAATCAATTTTCTATTAGATACACTGTTCCAAGGAGAAAATCCACTTGTAAATCTACAGAGCAAAAATGGAAACTACTTCCTCCACAGGCCAGAAAAATGGTTGTGATCGCGGTCCTCTTAACAGTCTTCTTAATCCCCTCCCTCCCATTTAGCTGCCTCCTGCATCAGTGGCTTTTCAACCACAGCTCTGCAGACCAATGCTGGCCCCCGAGCAGAAAAAGGTTTTAAACCACAGTCTAACGCTATGGTTATTAACTGTCCGTCTTTTGGTACTTAGACCTGTGGTGGCCAACAGGTGCAAAAAGGTTGAAAACCACCGTCCTAGATGTTGCCACCACTAACAGGATTTACAGTTCTTTGTGGAGACAGATACACAGATGTAGCACAACGGAGAGAAATGATACAGCATCCTGGGTCTGTAATGCCGCCTCCAGGCTATGATATGATTAATTTCAGACAGGCTCCCACATCGTGATTTTATTCCAGAGTCACTGGAACTCATCAACATCTCCCATGACGCTCCCTGACTTGTTCTTAGTTAAGTCCACGTGGACTATTTTTCATAAGCCCTCATTCCAGTCTGCAGAAACGGTCCACGCCAGAGAGTGATTGCTTCCCTCTTGCCTCTAGGGAATCGCCTGGATGGCCTTCCAAACTGCCTGACCCCAGATCGTTACATCTTTGCATTATAGGAGAATTATATTCTCTGACAACCTCCTCACAAACTTCCACTGCGACAGAAGTAAAATCAGACCACTCGGATTGCAGTTTGTTTGCTATTGTTGCTGATATTGTGGGGGGGAGGGGAGGGAAATGTGCATGGCTGGAGGGGGGAGGAGTGTATTAGGGGATGAATGAACCTGGGGCCTCCTGCAGGGGAAGCGAATGCTCTGTCTCCAAGCCACATCCCCCAGCTACAACTTGTTTTTAATAACTAGTTCCACACACCCCAAATCAAAGCCCTGGCTTGCATTCTGGGAGAAGCAGCCCGCAATGAAGTCCAAATCGTAAGGTTTCCGGAGATGTCCCACTTGGAACTTGAACCCACATCATCCCCACAGGTTTAATGCGAGAATCCCACGGAGCTCAGCATGTGCTGACTTACAAGGGTCCGACATCCTTCTTCTATCACAAACCATTCCCATTCCCTTGTCGCCGTCCTGGATGGGCTTGGGTGGCTACGAATATCCCCCTCGCTCCCTCCAAGCAACTCTAGATCTGTTTGGAGCCAACTGTGCTACCACACAACCTCCTGGAACCAAACGGAACACTTTCTTCCACATACTAGACCTCCACCGCCCCAGAGCTCCTTGTTCTTGAGCAGAGTAAGGTTTCTATAAGCTGACCAATCAGCGCTAAATTGGGGGGGCAGAAAACTTTAGAAGGAGCCATAGAGATCTCCCAGATCAACCATACAGATCTGCCAGATCAATCCTTCTGTCACTAAGAAAATGGCAAGAATACAGCTGGGTGCTTCCTAGCAAGAATTTCTCTTCTATTTCTTGGCACTTGTTTTACTGACACGCTCACAATTCTCAGGCCAGACCAGACCTGCCCACCTCCAGCCCAACAGAAGGTACAGCTCCCACGGTTTCTGCGGACCTTGCTCCCGGAAAGATCTCTGTCCACTGTCCCCATATGTGGCACCAGGGCCTTAGAGGAACACCAGTAGGCCTTCCTGCTGCTTGTCTGGGTCACTATTCTTTCTCACTGCAAAAAACACAGATTGGGGCTTCAGATGCTAAGCAGTTCCAGGTGATTAAATTGTTTGCTATTTGGGGGGGGGGGGGGGTCACACCCGGCTATGCTCAGGGGATCACTCCTAGCTCTGCACTCAGGAGTTACTCCTGGCAGTGCTCGGGGGACCATATGGGATCCTGGGAATTGAACTCGGGTCAGCCGCATGCAATGCAAATGCCCTACCCGCTGTACTATCACTCCAGCCCCAATTGTTTGTGATTTTTCTGAAGTTTTTCTCCAATTACTCTTGACATAAAGGGAAATTAAGTTCTCTGACCTCAATGCTTCCCAAACTCTCCCCCCGCCCCCCCCGCCCGCCAGTCAATCTGAATTAATTGCCAATAAGAACATCAACCTCACCAAGTACTCTCAGGACACTATTTTAAAACTCCATGTTATCCAAACTGCTCCAGAGAGCAAGAAGAGCTTTCACTCCTTGACTCAGTATTTTCAACTCTGGAGGTTAACCTGGAGAAATAATCCAAGGTTAAACGATAGCATGCCCCCTCAGAGGAGTCATTAAGAGCAGACTACACAGCAGGAGAGAACTGTGTGTTCAAACAGAACAGGTTTATGAGAAATACAACTGATGCTGCTTTTCGCTTGAAGGGGGCCTAGAAGCAGTCATGTGTCTGATTTCTACTTTGTGGATGCTTCATTTGATTTGAATTTTGCAACAGGACAAACATACAGAGTGAGACTTAAGGAAAGTAATCTTGTTAAGTCAATGGCTGAATAAATAGCAGTGCTCCTACATTATTGAATAAATAAATAAATAAAAGTGATCTTGTTATTTCACGGGACCCAGTAAGACTTGTCAAATGAGCACACGTCGGCACAAAAGATTTGAAATTCTCAGTTCGGATCCCCCAAACCATGAAACGTCTCATTTACTCATCCTGTAGAGGGGGTTTCTAAGAGTTGTCACTTAACTCCCGTCATAACCCTGGGAGGAGGTACCACGGCCCTTGTCATAACCCTGGGAGAAGGTGCCATGGCCCTTGCGTCGGAAGAAACGGCGTCTTGGACCTATCAAGTCACGATCCAAGGTCACAACAGGAGGCGAGTGCCAAGGGCCAAACAACCCTTGCCGGCCGTGCATTGTTCTTTCGGACTCTCCTTCCGGAGCCTTAAACCCCGGGTAAATGTCACAATCGGCAACACCTCCACCCCCTGTCCAAGCGGCACGCTCACGCCGCTGTCCAACACTCCGGAGTCGCCTTCGCTTGACAGGTCCTGCCACCGCGCAGGCCCCTGCTGCGGCTGCATGTGGGCTGCACGCCCCTGACACGCTTCCACGACATCAGCAAGTCCCCAGCTTCACACAGCCGGGACACACACGCACGCACAGAAAAAGCAAAAGCGGGTGCTGGCTGTGGCCGAGAAGCGGGGCGGGGGGCCGGCCGAGCCCCGAGGCATCGGGAGGTGGGGTCGGGGTGGGCGCACGTGGGTCGCGCGGACTCTTGCTCGGGCGTGCCCGAGAGCCTCGCCCCGCGGGGCCGGGCCGGGCCGGGTGCAGGGTGGGGGGCGCGCCCCGTCCGCGCCCCCCCAGCTCCAGCCCCCCAGGCCTCTCACCTTGAGCGTCTCGTAGGCGGTGGCCACCAGCAGGAACGCCTCCTCGGCGCTCCGCAGCGTCCCCCCGGGGCCCGCGTCGCCGGGCTCGGCCCGGTAGCGGTCCGGGTGGTAGCGCCGGGCCAGCTGGCGGTAGGCCCGCGCGATCTCCGCCTTGTCGGCCGCGCGGCTCACGCCCAGCACCTCGTAGCAGTCCCGCGTGCCGCAGTAGAGCCCCTCCACCAGCGCCCCCGCGGGCCGCGCCAGCTGCAGCGCCAGCAGCAGCGGCGGCAGCAGCGGCAGCAGCAGCGGCGGCCCCCGGCGCCGGCCCGCCGCCATCCCGGCCTCGGCCGCCGCTCCGCCAGCCCAGCAGCCGTGCAGCCGCACTCTGCGGCCGCGGCCAGCTGGGCCACGCCGGCCCCGCGCCGAGCCAGCGAGCGGCCGGCCGCGCAGGCGCACAGAGCGCGGCCGCCGCCGCCACTTCCTGCGCCGCCGTTGCTAGGGAGAAGGACGCTTCCGCCGCGCCGCCGCCTCCGATTGGTCCAGAGCCACTTCCGGCTTTCCAGGGCCGCCCCCGGGGGCGGGAGGGGCGGGACGTCGGCGCCGGAAGTGACGGAGTCTCTGCGCTTCCGGCGCGCCTCCTCGGGCTGGGCTGGGCTGTGCGCTCCGGCGCTGGGCGTCCGCTCGGCCGTGCCCCGGCCGGCTTTACGACGTCGTGGCCTCGCGGCTGGTGAGCAGCGACCGGCGGTGTTCAAAGGTCCAGGGTTCTAGGGTCAGGTCCCCGCTGCCTTTCTCTGCCAGCCCCTGGCTGCTTTGCAAAAGGAAGACAGAGAGGCCAAGCGCTGCGCGGCCCATCCCGGAGACACTGTTTGTTGACTTTTGGAACGGGAAATACTTTGTGTCTTGCAGGGAGATACTGTTGACATTTCGGACCGGAAGATACTTTTTTTCCTGCCTTGCAAGCTGTTTCAGTACCTCCCCAGCGTCTACACGCCAGATGCCAGAAATACCACCACCACGACCATGACAAAAAGTCTCCAGGTTATTGACAAAAGCGTTCTGTAGGTTGCCAGAAAAAAAAAGATACACGTTGTTCAGTTAAATCGGAATTTCAGAAAAACGAATTGTTTTCCAGTAAACTGCCCCAAGTATGGTTGTGGGACTAGGCAACAACAGGAGGAACTTTTACCTCAAGTAAATTAGAAATCTGAATTTCAGAAGCATGAATTGTTTTTCAGTGTACTGACCCGAGAATGATGTGGGACTATACACCAATATGATGAACTTTTTTTTTTTTTTAACATGAGGAACTTTTACCTCAAGTAAATTGTATCAGTGTTGGTTGAGTTTCTACTAAGGAGTTAAGAGATTTGTTCACACTGGGGAGATGGTAGTGAGCAAGGTTGATAAACTATTCCATTTCAGAGGGTGGCTATCCTGGTGGATGGTGGCAAGCAAATAAACTTCAAGATGCCATAAGTTGAGAAAATGAAACAAGGAGAGATAGAACAAGAGATAAGGGATTTGCACTGCATGTGACTGACCCTGGCTCAAATCCCTGGTGTCACATATGGTCCTCCTGAGAACTTCCAGGCATTACTTGAGCACAGAGCAAGGAACAGCTCCTGAGCACTGCAGAATTGAGCCAAAATTTAAAAATCAAAAACAAACCTAAAAACTAAAAAAAAAGAAAAACAGGAACGAGAGATAGTTTCCTTTTTCCTTTATACATATACATTTTATATATTGCAATTTATGCATCCTACATGAAATATATCAGTATAAATATTTATTAAATGTATAAGTATATATAAATATGTAATTTTTGGTAAAAGGGAGAAAAATATGAAGTAGAGCAGGGAAAACCTCTTCAACAAGTGGTGCTGGGAAAACTGGGCAACTAAATGTTAAAAAATGAACTTGGGCTGAACGATAGCACAGCACGTAGGGTGTTTACCTTGCACGTGACTGACCTGGGTTCGATTCCCAGCATCCCATATGGTCCCCCAAGCACCGCCAGGAGAATTCCTGAGTGCAGAGCTAGGAGTAACCCCTGAGCATTGTTGGGTGTGACCCAAAAAGGAAAAAAAAATGAACTCGGATCTCTAACATTGTGCAAATCAAAATCAGAGCAAAATTGATTTCAGACCTGAATCCATAAGGTACATGGAGGAAAATGTAGGCAAAGCCCTCCGTGACATTGTAGCTAAATGCATATTCAAAGATGAAATACCACTGACCAAGCAAGTGGAAGCGAAGATAAAAAAATGGGACTACATTAAACGGAGAAGTTTCTGCACCTCAAAAGAAACGATACCAAGATATAAAACTAGCCCATGAAATGGGAAAAACTATTTACCCAATACACATCTGATAAGGGGCTAATATTAAAGATATATAGGGCATTGGTAGTACTTTATAAGAAAAAAAATCCAATCCATCAAAAAATGGGGTGGAAGAAATTAACGAACCTCCCCAAAGAAATTCAGATGGCCAAAATGCCATGGAAAAAAAAATGTTCTACATCACTAATCATCAGGGAGATTCGAATCAAAACAACATTAAGATATCTCACATCACAGAGGTTGGCACACATCCAAAAGAATAAGAACATCAAGTGCTGGCATGGATGCAAGGAGAAAGGGACACTCATTCATTGCTGGTCATTCATATGACAATAATGGGAATGCCGACTGGTTCAGCCTTTTCAGAAAATAATATAGACATTCCTCAAAAAACTAGAGATTGAACTCGAATTTGACCCAGCAATACCCCTTCTGGGAATAGACCCTGCCCCCCTCTGGAAAAAAAAACAGCAGAAAAGCCATCTATACTTCTGAATTCATTGCAGCACTACTTAAAGTAGTCAGAAACTGAAAACAACCCAAGTGCTTAAGAACTAACGACTGGTTAAGGAAACCTTGGGTACATCTACACAATGGAATATTACAAAGGAATAAAGGAATACTACAGCTGTTAGGAAAAATAAAGTCATGAAATTCATTTATAAATGGATAAACATGGAGAGTATGAGACTGAGTGAAATGAGGAGAGAAACAGACATAGAATGACTACACTCATTTGTGGGATATATATACACACATATATATGTTTTTAAATAGTATGAGACTAATATCCTAGGCCAGGAAAAACAGGGGCAGGAGGGCTGGTTAATGGTTAGAGGCTTGCCATAAGAGTGGGAGGAGGAGTGTGGTGGGCAAGGGGAGATGGAATAGAGAAGGGACCAGTATGACAATAATAGTTAGAAATGATCTCTCTAGACAAGAACTGATCGTTGGAAGTAGGTAAAGGGATATACATGATAATCGTTCAGTATCTGCATTGCAAACCATAATAGCCAAAAGGAGAGAGAATTGGGGGATACTGAAAAAAATTGGTGGTGGAAGTGGGAAATGTACAGTGATGAAGTGATGGGTGTTGGAACATTATATACTGAAACCCAATCAAGAACAACTTTGTAACTGAAATTTTAACAAGGGGAAAACTATAAATAAATAGCAAGTTGTACTATATATAGAAGAGATATTGAATTAATGGAAACACGGGAGACTCAACCTATTAAGAATCCAAGAAATTAATGTCAGTCTAGAAGCAGACTATCTCGGTTGACTTGATAAGAAGATAATGACTTGAAGACAACTAGAACAGAAATGTCTGTGTGTGCACTCGTGGTAATGACAAGATCTACACCAAAACTCGGATTCAACTGGACAGAAACCCCCTGAACTCTCAAGCTTCAGAGCAAGGGACAAAGGGAGAGCACACACGTGGATTGGAGACAAAGAACACCCTCGCCAAGAAAAGAAACGTCACCAGGGAGCAGCAAACTTCTATTGAGAAGAGATTTCTAAGGTGTGAAATTCTGCCCTGGAGATTTGGGGGAAAGGGGCTATGCCATATGATGCCACAATCCTACAATCCTGGACTTACTGGGGCAAGAGCAAGAAACTACAGGGTATATTCAGGGATCAGTGTCACCAGTAGGTCCCATCTTGGAAACCTTGCAACCTTTCTGGTAGATGCCACACTGGATCTCCCTCTCTGTAGTAACAGAGCACTAAAGGCAAATTCAGGAGGGGATTTCCTTCCACCTCTAGCAAACAGCTGAGTTAACTGAGGACTGAGGGCTACACAGCATGACTGCTCTCACACAGCAGTCAGTAAGCTCCCTGAGGACCTCCCAAAACACAGCCAGTTTGGGGCTGGAGAGATAGTACCCACGGAAAGGCACTGGGCTTTCATGCAGCTGACCTGGGTACGATCCCCAGCAACCCATAGAGTTACACCTCACCACCTACATATCGATCATTGAAAAGCATCATTCCACATATCCCTTTGGGAAAAAAACAGTATTTATACTTCTACATACTGATAAGGCAAGGAATTGGTGTGAAAAGAATTTTTAAAATTAAATAATATGGAGCTAGAGCAATAGCACAGTGGGTGGGGCGTTTGCCTTGCACGCGGCCAACCCGGGTTCGATTCCCAGCATCCCATATGGTCCCCTGAGCACCACGAGGGCTAATTCTTGAGCGCAGAGCCAGGAGTAACCCCTGTGCATTGCTGGGTGTGACCCAAAAAAGCAAATATATATATATATATATATATATATATATATATATAATTGAGGAGAGGGGGAGAAGCTAAATCAAAACCAGTACAGCTCTTGACCTTCCTTTTGGTTCTCTCAGCCCAGTGAACTGCCAATGTGAGTGAGGTGGATGATGGAGTTGGAACACCACATACTTCATTGCCATTTCGGTTTGTTATTGTATTTATTTTTTTGAGCTACATCAGATGGCGCTCAGGGACTACTCCCAGTTCTGTGCTCAGGGGTTTCTCTGGTGTCACTCAGAGGACTAAGCAGTAATAGGGATAGAGCCTAGTTCTCCTGTAAGCATGCACTTCAGTCCATTAAGTTATCTTTGCAGCCCCAGTTATAGTTTTTGTTAACACTCCTAGTAATCGACTTCAGATTTCTTGATATATGCCTACTTTATCTTTCTTTGTTTATTTTAGCTTGTTTTGGGGTTTTGTTTGTTTGAATTTTTTTTTTTGTATTGGGGCCACTGTTCTCGTCCGCATTCGCGGCCGCGCGGTTCCGGGAGCTGGATTTTATAGTCTCTGAGTCTTGGCCATTGATGGGATTACATGGCGCCAGGGGGGCAGGTGGTGGGTGTGACCCCCGCCTACTGGAATTTGGAGGATCTGGGTGGAGGATGCTCGACTCCAATCCGAGTAGGCTTGGAGATCTCGGCCCCGGAAACCGCGTGGCTTTGTCCCTCTGCCAGTACCTTCATGTGTGCGGAGAGTGGTCTCAGCATGGTGGTGGC